GTGAGATAAAGCAAGAAAAATAAAAAAAAAGTAAAACAAAAAAAACCAAAATGGTATTGCCATTCACGATTTCGTCTGAACATAATCTAAGAATAAAATAACAAGCTATTAATAATTATCATAATGTTTCACTAAGTTAGCATCAACCTACATAATGAAGTTTCATTACGTATATTTTCGAATGCAATTTTATAATTTTAATCCGAAAATGTTCTTCAAATTACAGCTTTATTATGGTATTGCGCAACCACATGAATTGTTTACATATTGAAAATGAACCTACACGCAACTAAACAGTTGCGTATAAATTGACAATAAACCAGAACGCAAAATAAATAAATAACGCAAAAAGCTGTTGCAGCTGTTTGTAGGTAACAAACGAAAATCCAGCTTTCGTTGCCCATACGTTGTATTAGAAAAGTGCAGTAAAACTTCGAAGAATACATTTTTCTTAATAACCCATGAAGTTTATATCATTTTAAAAATCGCGTTCAGCTTGGAAGTAATGCGTCCTAAAATAATAATAACGAATTCTATGTGATGGGCAAGAAAGTGACTACTTTTACATTTATACAAAACTTTAAATCTTTCCATAGGAAAATTAATGAGGGTACTTTTTTTTTAAATGTCGTAAGATTTTTGTTAAAAGGTTTACAACAATAGTTTTTTATAAAGTTTCTAGGGATCGGGCTATTTGATAAGAAGTCAGTTATGCATTTAGTTTTGGATGCGATCGCATCGTCGTAAAGAAAATCATATTAGAAGGCCAGATATGATAAATATGCTAATGGAGGCAAGAGGCATGCTGAAAAGTGACAACTTGAAATCACATAACCGCGAGAGAGGCAATGCTTTTCTTTTTTCTTTGCTGATTTCGAGACAGCTGCCTCGTTACTATGTTTGATTGCCCATGAGGTTATATAAAAATCCAGATGTTCAAGAAAAAATCTTACCAGAAATTCAGGATGTCGATCGAAATTTGGATGGCAAACCCTTAACTTACGATATAATACTGAATATGCATTACATGGATATGGTAGCTTCCGAGACATTACGCAAATGGAGTGTCGTCCCTGCAAGATATCGGGTGTGTACCGATGATATAACTTATGAGCTGAAAACCGTTGAAAAGTTGGAACTTAAAAAAAGTGACGCTATTTGGATACCTCTTGGAGCTCTTGGTACACATCGGGAGCCTCAATATTATGAAAATCCCAACAAATTTGACCCCGAACGTTTTAGGGAGGAGAATAAGGACAACATAAGACCATTTACATAGTTACCTTTTGAGCTAGGCCCCAGAAATTGTATTGGTCGGTGATTAAGTGACTGATGGCCAGTTTGTCGTATATTAATTTATTTTTCTCTTCCTCAGGTTCACGTTTTGCTCTGCTAGAATCTAAAGTTTTAATATATTATCTGTTACGTGATTTCCATCTCGCTGCGGCTAAGAAGTTCTCCATACCGCTCAAACTGGATGCTAACGGTTTCCAATTGTTGCCTAAAAACGGTTTTTGGCTCAAATTTTTTTCTAGGAATTACTTTCTTTTATGCACTACTTTCTTGTATACTTAAATTATGTTTTCTAATATTTCTGAGAATTACGGCAATGGGACTTTTTATAACTACTAATGTACCTACTTTTAAACTACTTTTAAACAAGTAAGAACATTATAGTCGAACAAGGCCGACCTTTCGATACCCTACACCATGTTGTCTAACACAATTCTTATTTTTGTTATAGAACACAAAAATTATATCTTCTTTCTATACAAAAGCATGTTTGTCACGTGCGCACTTATGGGGATGGCTTAAATAGGGCATGACCCAAAAATAGTTCCAAAAATAGTTCAAAATTAAATTAAAACTTATAAAAAGCAAAGTCACTCAGCTCTTCTTGGTCTTACATGTACTTTAAGATCCTCGTTCTATCTATATATATATCAGTATATTTTCATATACATATATTCCATCCGTATCTATAAGTACATTTTTACACCTTGTCTATTTATATATAGCAGTGTATTCTTTATATCAAGTTAGTATAATTATTTATATTATTTGATATTCAACGTTAGTTAAAGGTGGTAGGCTTGAAAATCGCCTGCATTGCCCAATATTGTACCGCCATACATTAATACCGTATATTAAATTACCGATTGGCAACGCCAGTCTGAACGTTGGGAAAGAAAAAGATCATTTCTTCTTCCCTTTTCTTAACCGAAACACGTGAGGAGACGTGAGGATAAAATAAAGTCCCTATTCATCCGGTAAAAAACAAGTGCGGAATTTGTGTTGATCAGGGCAAAGACTGCCCCTACCGTCCAACGACGATCAACAATAAGACATTTTAGGCTAGAATAGAATCTAAAATATGAAATTTGTATAACTATTTAAACCTTTAATAAGAATGCTGACCTGTTCTGGCCCAAGGACGAGCGCTATTGAAAATAGTTCGGATGGGATCACTTTCACGGCTACTTCCCATATAAAGCCTTATTTATTAATATGAGAATTTGGATTACCGAAAAGTTTTATTTAAATCAGAGAATAAAGGAAGTGAATACACCGGAGCTAAATTAAAGGGACAATTTCACCTTCTCACAAACTGTAAATATTCGCACTAAGGAACCAGTTCGAAACACTTTATATCCCAAAAAAAGCATGCTCTAAAACTTCAGTTTTCGCTATATGGGAAACGTTCGCAAATTGCCCCAGGCCGGTCAAAAGTGTTCATACCAATTTAGAATGCCGACATGCTACCATTTAGCCGCTTTTGCCAAGAAACTTTGATATTTAAATTTATTTCCATATAACGATTTTTCAGAAAACTGCGTTAGATGGGAAGTGGTTGAAAAAGTTACCGATCCGCACCAAATACGTCGCTGTACCAAATTTCATCGAAATAGCTCAAAAATTGCTTCCTTTCGGCTTGAACGCAAATTCACATTAGACGGGCGGACAGGCTTAGATCAATTCAAATTACGATTCTGAAACGGTCGGAATAATAAAAGCCATTCTGCGCGTTACATACGACCCCACTGACTTCGGGCTATCTAAAGCACTATCGGGCTTTTGATCAACCGAATACTTTATGAGTTTTGTATGGATGCTACGAAATATCGTAAAGAAAATCATATTATAAGACTAATTATCATCAATATGGTCATGAAGGCAAGGGGTATGTTGAACAACAACAGTCCGAAGTCACATAGCCGTGAACGAAGCGAGATTGATATTGTGGGCCAACGGTTTCTACTTATCCTCCTGCTGGATTTCAAACCAATGCTTCTTTAATCCTTCTTATAGCTCACGAGATTAAAAAAAATTCTGAGATTCAAGCGAAGCCCTCGCAGGAAATCCAAGAAACGGAGAATAGCTTGGAGGGCCGTTTTTAAAGTTATAACGTCAAATAATTAAGCGATATATGGATAGGGTAAGGTCGGAAACACTTAGTAAGATGGTTCTAACGTTGACGGATCGTACGTGAATATAACCTATAATCTTCGATAAAAATGAAGCCCTTCTTCCCTTTTGACCAGATCGCGTTATCTTCGCTGCAAAGATCGTCTTCGTTACCGCCGTCAGTGTCTCTATAATTGCCATCTTCATCGGTAGAGTAATTCAAAAAAAACTTAAGCTGCACCCAACGCGAAGCTTGTCAATGATCTTGCGCAGAGTACACAGAGTTTTCCCAACTGTTTAAGACCGCATGCTTCAGTTACTATCGACAGCATTCCGATATTTAAAGATTTCCCAGCAATGATAACCATCGTCTCCTTGAATGACTTACAATTGGAGATCTATGACATCGTTACGGAAATCCCAAATCCAGTTCATTCAAACTAATCGACTTTCCCAAAAAAAATAAATAAATTCCCTAGAGTGGGAAAACGCAAGTGCGGCGCGACATGCAGTTGGCGGCCGAGGAAAACAATTAACGGAAAAGCAGATTAACGTATTAAAAATAAAGCCATGACCATACGTAATAGTGATATGTTTGCAAAAATGTATATAAATAGACTATTTGAGGAAGGCAGAGTCATCACATTTGAGTCGAAAACAAATATTAGAGCTGAAAAGTCGAGAAGTGTCGCGAAGGTAAAATATATGATTATTATTATTGCTATTATTAATTTTGCCAGAGAAATAAATTCTAAGACTAAAAATTCTTAAAAGCACTAGCATCTAAGGCTCTGCTTATTCTATTGCCCTTTCCAACGTGCATTTGTACCATGTTAACCCAGGTACCAAATCGTATGATTTGGAGACCGTTAGGTATGTGCTCACAATGAGCATAGGCAAAAGTTTTTTATAAGTTTACGCTATCGGTTATAATTTCTGCATACATTTTTTTTCTACATGTTATGTGTGTCTATACTACATTTTATATAGTTATGTATGTGATTTTCAAATATATTTGTATATGGTTGCAATGTTACATGCGTTTTCCAATTTTACGTACATATTTACATAGTTTGAATAGTTTTGCCTCGTTGTGTTTATAATTTTGATGTCGAATATTCGGCGGCTTATGTTACATGTGTTTGTAACATATTTGTATAAGGTTTATGCAGTTACATGTGTTACTTACACTATGTCTGAGCCAGAGGCGGATGGTCGTATTCAGTGAAAGGACATGTGAAGGGACAAATCAAACTGTAGGCTTGGGGTCTACGGATAAACATTCGCGCGAACCTACTTGTTGTCAGTAAGGAAGCAAAAACGCTTGCTTACAATACTCAATAAAACAAAAGTTCTTCATGTAACAATTTTTCAAAAATACTTTTTATTTTTGCTTAACGATGTTAAACAATACTTAACTTTGCTAAATTTTGAAGTTGATTAAGATTGGTTAACATCATGCTTGATGAAACGAAGATACAATTAATAGCAAAATCGCGTAACAAAATTATGTTAAATTTTTGACGAGGTGAAATGAAGGGAAATACTAAACATTTTATAAAAAAATGGCGGTATGGTGAACAGTAAGTTTACGGAAATTATGTTAACGGTTTGTTTGCATTGGTTTTATGCAAATGTGGCGTAGTGTTTTAAAATGAAATCTTTTCTTTTGAAAATAAACAATACAATTCAGTTTACACGCGCAGAAGTAATGCCGGTTCTTATTTCCTCACGCAATTGGGAGGCTTCTAGCGAAATGTCTACAGCGTCGTCAAAATAGGTTTGGATTCAGGAAATCAACGGTTTACTGCCGTAATTTTAAAGTAACCACAAACCTTATGAATAAAATTTTTGCAAGCATACAGACAAAAACTTGTGTATGTGAAGATTGACTCAACCTCATTGCTTTCAGGTTTTTTCGGTTTGTGAAAAGCTTTCATTTCGTAAGAAAATATGTGTAAGTTCCGTGTGCGCATCCAATCACTTCAATAAATATCAGAAATATTTGAACAATCGTTTATTGTATAACAACGTGTCACAAGAATAAGAAAAGCGCAAGAAATTAACAAAAAAAGTCGTCAAAAGCCTGTTTATATATGTTTTAATATACTTTGTTAACAAATACATAAAATTGTTTACTTTCGGATTTTTTGATAACGTGAGACGATTTGAAGCGTCCCGCAGAGATTTTTGACATCTTACAAGCTTCATTTTCCGTCAATCTCGATGTTGTTCTACTGCCAAATGACGTTACATAAGGGAAGGAACCAGTCCGCCTGATGTGTATATAATGACAACATTTTACTTACCTTTTTTTTGGTTGTTTAGTTGAACTGGTTGGTTGTTTAGTTGGATTAGTCTTCTTGACAAGAAGACCAATGTGCTCAATAGAATGATAGGCTTATATTAGTTTTTCGCTTTATCAACGTTAACGACAGTATATGATGATGTGTGGAACGGTTGATGCTGCATAATGAATTACACGCTTTGGCGAATTAAGGGTATTAATTAGACATTTCAAGTAAAAACTAAAAAATAAGAAAATTAATTTACTTACTGGTAGTGCAAATTGCTTGCTTATGAGAAAGCGAGTATAGTGTTTTAAACTATGATATTTTAACCAAACTTTTTCTCTTTAAGATGATAAAGACAGGAGCGCAAAAAAAGACTTCTTTACATGACAAAGCAAAAGGCAACAATAGCAATATGTTTTATTTAAAAACCATATGTGTAATAAAGCAAGAGAAGTAAACAAAAAAGAACAACGAA